GATATGACATTTTATATATCTATCTTATATATGTGTGTCTGTGTTTGGTTTATATCTATGTAGGTAATGTGCATTTTCAGTTTTATTTTGTGTTTTATAATATATTATTATTTTCCATACTGTTTGCAGTGAACAAATTCTACTTTTAATAGCACCACCTGTGTAGATCTGCAGGCTTTGGACTCTTCCTTCCTTTGTTGTGAGCTACAGTTAATTAAATCAAGATTTTTTTCCTTTTAGAATATCTATTTTTACACTCTGTTTTTATGTAAAATTGCTTTCATGTTCCCTGTCCTCCCACTCAACCAGTTCTTCTGAAAAGCACGTATGTTTATCTCTCTTAACATTGCTTACAGATCTCATTTCTCAATGCTTTGATTATTTTAGATGGCCTTCTCTGAATTCCTGCTTCATGATGCCAATGGGAGAGAATTTCCTTAATACAGCTCTCCTCAGAATTTGCTAGCTCTGTGGCTGCCTTGCCTGTGGCATTCCTGGCAGCCCTTGCCATGGTATGCTCTTGGAAAAAGAATCAAGGGACATATTCCCAATGAGCATATACCAAAGGAATTATAAAAAAAGAAAATACCTCTAATACAGGATGAAGTTGATATGCAAAACCCACACTAATCATAGCAGCTTCTGGTTTAGAACAAAGATCTGAGCTCACAGTCTCCTTATCTTAATAAAAATATGCCTATATGTGAGGCAGGAAGGGGCTCAGAGAGAGCTACATGCACTAGAATTAGCAGGATTTTCCCCTACACTGGCCTCAATACTATTATTATTATTACTAGCATTGTTATTTTTATTATTAATTATATACTTGAACTGAAATGAATGTGCTGCCTTGAAGATGTCATTCATAAAAGATCTCTAGTAAGAACTTTACAAACAAAGAATTGTCTATTATGTTAGCCCTGTCTTGAATTCTCTCCTTTTTCCTTACTTATGCCATTAAAATTCATCTTAGCCTTTCAAGTGGACATCAGTATGGCAGCAATAATACAAATCACTCTGAATAGCCAGACAAAAAGTTTTGTGCCCTGCAACATGGTGGAAAATCTACCTGAAATCTTTCTGATTAATTGGAAACTCAGAAGAATTGGACTTCAGTGGCTACAGTAGGGCTTTCACCTGTTGTATCACCTTTCTTGGAGAATTTTGCCAGCCTTTATCTTGAGACACACCTTACTGACAGACTGCAGGACTGCTGCTCCTCCACAGAAATAACATTCCTCCTGCCAATATTAACATTAGCTTTTGGCTAATATTTAATTATGACTAAATGAAAATAGTCCAACAACTTCCAGCAAAAATGCTTATCATTAAAACTTTCTCTTGTGCATTATGAAAAAAAAATGGCTATGAAATATTTTACTTCACAGAACATTATAATGCATGTGCAGCCGTGCAGCTCTTCTGTAATTTTATTTTGTCAACAAAGATTTAACATAACTGTTTCTTACCTAAGCAATGGGGGCACAATGATGTCATAAAGTCACTTATAATAATTCTTAGTGGAGATGCCCTGTTTTAGCACATATCATTGTCTACAGTCTTTTTTCATTGAGTAGCCTTGTTTCTGTGACACTGTTTATCCTAAAATTATTCATTGTCAAGATGTCCTAAGTATATTACAAAAAATATATATTTAATGAGAGCAATAGCAATGGCTTAAGGAAAACTTTCTCATATTTCCTTTCCAATGTGAAAAATTAATTTTGAAATATCTGAGTTTCTCATCTTAAAATGTTACATTTGTCATTATTGTTAATAAAAGGTTATTTTAAAGAGTAAGACATCTTTATTAAGGTCCTTCAAAATATGCCACTCTAAATTTCAACTCAGCTGAACAGCAATATGTATTTAGCAGCTGAGACACCAAAAGAGATACACACACACAAAGCTCACTGAGATTTGCCAAGGATGGCTTCTCAGCTTATGTTTTTACCCTCAAATCCTGCAGTAAAGCTGTGTTCAGCTTAGAAATGTTGTTTCAGTTTCTGTGTGGTGAGGATTTTCTCCTATATTCTGTTATGTTTACATTTACTGTGCTGGACTTATTTCAACAAAGCACTTAAGCATATATGTAGATTCATTCCTTCCCAAATATATGTGAATTTGTGCTTAACTGTAAACATATCCTTATACTGCATTTCCTGAAGTGAAATTTAAGAACTTTTTGAGGTGCTGTTGCAGAACAAAGATCCAGTGAAGGCACTGCTGGCCTTAGTGAGAGATTAGAATCAGGGCCTTACCTAGGTTTCAAGAAATAAAAGACAATAAAGTTTTTGAAAGGAATGAAAGACACCAAGACCTCAAACATTGTAATACTGTTACTCTGCTTTTCACATCTGAAGGAAGGTAATTCAGACTGCTAAGCAAATACATATAAATTAAGATTATTGTGCTAGCATTAAAAAAAAATCCATTCTGAGTTGCAAGAGCTATAACTCAAGGTAAAACTTGGTCTTTTCTTCTTCTGTGTCTCCAAATTTTGCCAGTATTCCGGATATTATTAATTCTTTATTAATATTCATTTATTAATGTTTCCAATCACATTTTCATCCTACATTGCTATTAGAAGCAGCCCAGAGAGTTGGTAAATTTTTCAATAGAACTGAATACATGTGTTACAAAAATGCTCATGTTTTCATCACTGTTCCTACTCACACTTCAAAATGCAGACTTGCTTACCTCCAGGGATTGCCAGAGAGCTTCGGTTCTTCTGGATGCATGATTTTCACAGCAGATATCCTGAAAACACTAGAGTTCATAGAAACCACAGAGATTCTATGATTCCTTGAAGAGATGTGGCCAAACCACATTCCTTTGAGTGAAAAGTGGCTCCTGGTGAGACAAATATGGTCTCAGAACAACAAAATTGGTATTACAGAATTTAAAAAGAAAAAAAATTAAAAATGCAAAAGCCCCACATTAAACAGAAACATAAAAACCCAGAAAACTATCTCTAAAAGTTATGTTACACACTGATTTGCAAATCTCTTGGAGGAAAAGAAATAAAATTTATTTTGCACAACACCACCCTTTATAACTTTTTAAAAAGTAAATGAGTGATCAGTGAGAAATGCTGCCCAACTGCTCTCTGCTCCATTGGCCTTTGCTAGGCTAAGAGTGGAACCAGTTGCTCAGATGAAAAAATGGGGAGGGGGAAAGACATGAACAAATACAGCAAAAGGGAATTTCTGTTCCAAATTAAACTCCATAGTTAGATTAAAATGCTTTAAAACATTTTTCAATATATGGATATTTCCTTCAATTCCTAGGATTCACTGGCTGGACCATACTGGAGAAGTAGCCTACAGACAGTGTACTGAAATTTTTCTGTATTGTCTGGAATGACTTTTTACATTTTGAAAAGGTTTCACTTCTGTATCTGGGAGCAACATTCTTTTGTTTCCTGGAACACCTACACCACAACATGAACTGTCATTCACAGACCTTATTTGACTTCCCAGCCTAAGATTATTTTTTCAACCCTTCTTTCACAAACAATCTTGTTCTTCTTTCTTGCTCTATTATATTAAGAAATAAATGTTTGCCATGTTTAAAGGGTTTATCTGGTTATGCACACTGAACAGCAATGCCTCCTTTTTCATCCAGCAATTGTGTCTGAGAAAGGATTAAGGTCTGTGAATATCAGACCTCATTGGACACATAGTTGCAGTAGTTTTTTGCATATAAGTCTTCAAATTAGGATGTGCTTGTCTGTGTAAGGTGAGGTTTTTCTTTTTCAAAAGAAAATTACCTTTTCTTGAGCAGTGCAAAACCATTTGCACCCTTAATTTCTGTGATTTCATTTCTTTCGGTAATTCCTAATACATGAAAACAGTTACAGCAAAGATCACGAGGCATCAGAAAAAAAATGCGAGTCATATTCGAATCCCAGAGGAAAACCTTATTTACATGATGAAACCCTTGCTGTGGAAAGCTTGGGAATCTTGGTTGGTGGAATCTCTCATTGTCAGAACTTTCAGCAAAAGAGCAGCTGCAGATACTGAAAGCATTAAATAAAAAATTACCAACAAGCTGTCTTACCTGTGTGCACTCCACAGAAAAGAAGGGCAAACATGAGCAGGTAGTGCTTGTACATCAGTCAAAACCATGACAGCTACGGTGTAACATCTGACAACACTGACATGTGCTGCACTCCCTAAGATATTCCTCTAACTGAACCATAAAGAGACAAATAAATTAGTAATAGTACCTTGCCTGTCAATGTCCTATCTTGCAGGCTTCTCACACTGTTGATTAGCATTGTTTGAAGTGGTTTATCAATATGTTTGTTTTCAGAGGAAAACAGAAGAATGGTGCATTCTTTTATTACCTTGAGAAAAAAAAAAAAAGCAAAATAAGGGGCACCTGATTCCTCATGATCACACATTCATTTCTAAGAAAAGGACAGAAAAAAACTGTATAATGCTTTCATACTAGTCAAACAGATCAGATTTTGTCTTTATTCATCTGCTGTGTGGCAGACAAAGCTCTCTTAACCAAATCAGTATTCTCATATAAGAAAAAAATCAGATGGCCAGCCACTACCTGTCAGATTTTGCCCATATTCCTGCTGCCTGACACAAAGCCAGCACAAAATGTTCCTGTAATACTTTAGTTTTCATAAAATATATATACTCGTTAGTGATTTTTCTTGCTCTTTTTGCAGCTGGAGGCATAATTATTATGAAAAAGAAGGTGACTGGGAGTACCCGCAGGTGTTAACGAGCACTAATGGCCCTGACAAGCCCCACCCAGAGCCTCCACCCACAGCCTGGCCCCTGGGCTCCATCTCATTTCAGGGGTGGGCTGTGCAGATCAGAGAAAAGGAAATCCGTGCAAGTAGAGATGAATGTCTCTACTTCAACAAGTCCTAAAACTTAAATAATCGGCATTTAGTTTCGATGGGAAAATAACTGAATAACTTGTGTTGGGGTTTTCAATTTCATTGAGGCCAAACTTTGTTTTTGTCCTGATTTCACCTAGGGTGGAGGTAGCTTCTCCCAGTAGCTGCTGCGGTGCTGTGTTTTGGATTCAGAATGGGAATGGTGGTGTTTTTGCTAGGCCATCTTTATCCTAAGTCAAGGACATTATTTCCCCTTGGCTTGTGCTCTGCCAATGAGGAGGTTCACAAAAGAAACTGGGGGTAAGCATAGCTGGGATGGGTGACTTGAACTGACCAAAAGGAATATTCCACACCATAGAACTTCATGCCAATATATAAACTGAGGGGAGCTACCTGTGCCCAGTCTGGATTTGGGAAGGGGGGTCTGGCATCAGTCAACAGGTGGTGAGTAATTGTGCATGACTCCAGATCTTTTTCCTTTTTATTATCCCGATTATTGTTATTGTTCACCATTACTACTGTATTTTAGAAAAAAGAAATTAAAATAGAAGAAAGGCCCTTGAATGGATTGATCTTTCCTCAGGGCGTCTGCAAACATGGATGTACAGCCTTTCATTCAGACTGAGACCCTAAAAATACAGCCCATTGTCACAAAAGTCATGCATGGAAATCAGGTGGTCCAGGCTTGGCTTTTAGCAAGAAATACAGGGGTTGTGATCTGGAATCCACATACAGCATGTTATATATACATGGTCCACAGACATCCAGTAGTCACCAATGTTCTATATCTGTATATTATTCAGTGGCTTCAGCCAACAGAAAAAAATATTAATCCAGTGTGAATCTGAGACATTGTCAAAGACATTGTTTCCACATTTCCTTATTCTACTCTGGAGCAGCAAACATAGACAATTTTTTCCCTCTTTTTTTTAAAGACCCAACTTCTTCAAAATATATTGCTTTTTTTTTCTTCTATGATATATTCAGTATTTGGTATGTATTAGCCTGCTTAATCATGAGTCAGGACATTCTAGCCTACCTGCTAAGCACAACTACTTCGTATTTGAAAGTGGAAATAAGAGAGAACAGATGTATTGGTGTGGTGACATGACTACACCAGGTTTCTTCTGCCCTTGAACTTCACTTGTCATGGGGGTTAGTAAGCATATTTTATGTTGCAGTCCTATCAAAAGGAAATGTTCTTGTTGAAAGATCCTCATTGCAAACTAAGCAATGACCAACCTCTATCTGGACCTTTTCACCATCGTATGCTGATCTCAGAATATTTCATAAACTAGACTGTGCACAGAAGAAAAAAATCCGTAGCCTTTTTAAAGTGGTTGATTTAAAAATTTTCTTTACCTTGAAGCCATTTTTCAATATTGTGGTATTTCAATATAAGGGGTTTTGAACATTTTGAAATTATTTTACTTAGCATTTAAGACAATCATGAAAATATTTTGTGAGTGGATATGTAGTGGCTCAATATGCATTACTTATGTTTTGTTATGCTAGATAGAATGGGCTTTTATATATCTTACCTGAACCGGTACCATGGGATTTTGCATGCGCCATAAATGAAGCAAAAGACCCCTTCAAGTCAGCCATCACACTCACCTAGACAGAGTGTATGGTGCCACAGGGCTCAAAGAGAAAAATGAACTACTCACTGAAGATGAAATAAAAAGTTCTGTTTCTTTGCCAAATATAATGCAGGTGTAAAAATTACTGGCCAGCTAACACATGTAAAGAATTGTTGTGGTTTAACTCCAGCCAGCAGCTAAGCCCCCACAGCTGCTCACTCATCTCCCTGTGCAGGGTTATGGGAGAGAACTGGAAGAGAAAAGTGAGAAAACCTGTGGGTTGATATCAAGATGGCTTAATAAATAAAGTGAAGTCTGCACATGCAAGCAAAGCAAAATACAAAATCAATTCACCACTTCCCATGTGCAGGCAGATGTTCAGACATCTCACACATAAACACCACCACTTTGAGTGCACCCCTGTCCGTCATTCTTCCCCCAGCTCCATATCCTGAGCATGATGCCACACCTTCTGGAATATCTCTTGGATCATCTGCAGTCATCACTCCCAGCTCTCTCCCCTCTCAACTTCTTGTACACCCTCAGCCTTCTCATTGGTGGTGTGGAGGGAGAAGCTGAAAAGGTCTTGAAGCTGTGCAAGCCCTGCTCAGCAGTAACTAAAGCATCCCTGAATTATTAGGGATGCTTTGGTCATAAATCCAAAACACGGCCCCATGTTAGCTACTGTAAAGAAAATTAGGTCTGTCTCAGCCAAATACAGTACAATAATGTAATACATCATAATATGTCAGCGATATTTACTTTAGAAAGTGAGTTTATGATTGGGAATTACGTTTAACAGCTGATCTCTTCATATGGTGATATGGTGACCATTCCAAAAAAGAAATTGAAAGAATAGTAGAACAAACATTGCACTCATTAGGCAAAAAGAGTAATTTCTAATGAAAATAACAACCAAAAATTTTTTGAGAGAAGAAGAAAAGTGAAAACAGAAAGACCAAAAACTTTTTAATTTTTCTACATAATTTGAGATTTTTCTCTGCCAAAATTTCTAAAGATCAGACCCAAGAAATTGCTTGAAAGTCAATTCAGAAAAGTGGCTCTGTTCAACTTGTCTATGAATCTTTGCTTTATTTTATGAAGAATTGTTATCTATCTGGCAAAACTGAACAGTAGAGATCAATTATTTGTGAAGCATATTTGATGGCCCTGAAGTTTCTTTGGATGTTTACCCATTTTATCACACTAGTTACATAAATTTAATTAAAACTCAGCTACTTCACACGACCTGTTTCATGGTGATGGAACTCTATTTTCCATACCTGTTATAAGGGGCTTATGTTCTTACACCAGAAAAAAAAGCCCAAAAAATAGTCATTTATACTCCACATTACAAATTAATAATAAAAAATTTAAAAAAATATATATAGTGGTGTCAGCAACCAAGAATTTGGTTCTAATAGTCTAGCTTTGAGCCCATGATAAAACCAGACTGTCATTGATAGATTTTTGCTATACAAATATTAATATTTGCAGGAAGAATTCAGAATAATTTTGGAAATAAAGACTCTACTAATAGATTTATATTCTTTTGCAAATGCTTAGGGGCATGCAGCTATTTCTTTTCTATTTATTTCTGTTTTATTTATTTGATACTTCCAAATCAAATGAAGATGTATTCTCAGGCTTCCATTTATTCACTGTTAAAATGTGTGAAATGTTCTCTAGTCTCTAGAACAGTTTTAAGACAGAGGATGATTAAACTGTTTTCTAGTTTGTCTTTGTGAGGGAAACATATCTGATTGGAAATCTAGAGCCCATCTAGTATGGGTTGAAAAGATCAATTCCAGTGACTGAATCTTTGTAGTTCCCGATCATGTTAGCTGTAAAAACACTACTGAATTTTGTCCAGAACAAAACACTATTTTCTTCTTGTATGTTATGATATCAGCAGTTACCTCAGTAACTGTAATGGGGAATAATAATTTTGTGTACTTTTTAATGTATATTGTCATACATCCTATGCATTAATTGGCCATCATATGTCTGTATCTGAGGCTGTCACTAGCAGATAAAAAATTTAAGCAGTGAGGCACAGATTCACCCCTATTAAATGTTGATGCGATCATTTAAGTCAAAAACAGGTATCTGTTACAGAGAGAAGAGAACTGGATTCTTTAGAGGTGATACTGTCCTTAACTGACCTGAAATAAAGTTAGGTGCTTCAAAAGGAAAAGTGGATGAAATTGGGTACTAAATATTAAGTCATTTGGCTGTCCTTTAATTCTCAAAGCACTACAGAAGATACATAGCTAATCTCACTGTCTTCATTTTTCTTCCACAGGTCATTCACTCAGATGAAAAAGATTCAGATATGTATGGAACAGTCCTATCAAAGCCAAGGCTTCCATATTGCAGTCAAGACATATTTTAATAATAGTTTCCCAAACCACAAATTTGCAGAATCTGAAGTGACAATACATCTGGTAATGAAAAGTAAATCCCTCTTTACATCTAAAACTAGTACCTAAGCAGCAAAAATAATTTTTAAAAGGGCTTCTTAATTATTCCCCATAGTAACCTTTTCTTTTAGGATCACCATATGTACCCCATTACCCAGTGATCTCACTTTAAATTTGTATGACACATTAAAGTCTTATCACTCTGGATTGCAAAGGGATCCATTAAAATGCCACATATTTTACTATTTATATTGCCTTGGCAATTAAAAAAACAACAACACCCCATACCATTAACGGTGATTACTACTAAGGTTGCTTAAAATAAAATGCAGCTCAGAAGTGTTACTAGGTAGAAGTTTGCAAATTTCAGATCTGTTGGTCGCTGCCATTTTAGCCTGAATTAAATGATCACTTGCTAAGACAATACCAGAAATACTACTTCTGTTTGCCATTAGGTTCCTTCATCTTCCACTTAATTTGTGATTATAGGCTGTTATATCTGACATTAGCTAAGATTTTGGTCAATCTATATAACACCAATACTTGAGGATAAAGTCCCTGTTTTAATCAGATGGATATAATTTCTGGAAGTTCCAGATAATCAAATTTGTACATGCAGTCTAGAGATTATATTGCCACAGTAAGTTTTAGAGCAGATGTCTGATGCTGAAGAAACCTCCTTATAGGAGAATTTAAATCGCCCTTGTTCAGTAATGACATAGGTTATTAAAACACAATTTTTGTGGTGACCTAATTAAAGCACTCTATCAAAAACAATCAAAGCAGCCACTCTTTCACTGATGAGGTTTTCCAACCCCTAAATGCAGCCCTGATGAAAGCACAGCATGAAAAATGGAAAAAATTATGATTTCAGCTGAGAAATTAGCCTTCAGCGGTTGTTAATAAAGGAAAGTAGGAATTTACACACCAACACATAAACTTTGTAAGTGTGGACTCTCTTATATTGCCTTTTGCGGCAAGTAAAGTTAAGCAAGTAAAGCACTGTTATAGCTATCATCCTCAAAATGTTATTGAACAATTCCAGGGTGAGAAATATATGATATTTTAGTTTTGGAAGCCTAGGGACTAGACCGTGGGCTCTTACTAACCTAGCTGTCTGTCCCCTGGGTAACTAATCTAGCTGTGTGTCTCCTGGGTAAGCTGTGATTCCCTGCAGCCCTGCCAGAATTTTGTTAAACACACTCTTGGTTTTTCTGCAGTTACAGAGTGTGGTTCTGAACACTGCTACTCAGCAGAGGATTCACTATGCATCTAGAAGCAGCAGTAATGTTTACTTGGTCCTTTCAGATTTGGATTTATTGCCTAGTGGCCCAAAATAGGATTCTCCTCACAATGCTACAATAGAAGAGATCCTAGTCAATCCAAAAAGTCACTGTAAATGGTCATTTAGACTCTGCCTTTCAGAATATTTTCTGAAGCTGTATTTTCTTACATTGATTATCATTACTAACAATCCTAAGAGAAACGGTGGTACCAACTTTACCTTGTGAATCCAATTAACAAAATCTGACAGCATATTTGAAAATTAATTTCGATTAAAGTAGTGCAATTTAGAATGTGCAAAATTCCAGTTCATGTAATGGATCTTACTTGACAAAATTATGTATAGAATATATCCATGGTTGTAGATAACACTGAATAACCTTTGTTCTATATTTCTTTCTCAATTGCATTCCCAAATTAGATAGTGAGGAAAAGATTTTTCAAGGATTATGACAAAATATTTTTAACCTTTAATAATTCTTGCTCTACAGCAGGTAAATCTTAGTTTAAAATATGTTGTAGCTCTGAAATTTATCTATTCCATCTAAAAGATGTGTAGGAAACTAAAAAGAAAAAACACCCTAGTGATGAAAAAGCTCTCATCATTATTCTTTTCACAGAACATGTACTCTGTTCTTACACTTCAAAGATCTCAGAGTAATTTTACAGTCCTTCCTTCTTTCCTTCTCTCTGATGCTAAATGATACATCTCATTTTTCTGTACAAGTATGAACTGGGGTGTAAATTTACCACCCAGAAGGGAGTGCCCTCATCCCCACACCTTCCTGGGGATGAACAGTATCACACACTGTCCCCCAAGTCATGAGCTAACACTGCCTAAGAGAGTGCTGACATGGAAAAGGAACATCCCAGTCTGTGTGCTGGCACCTCAAGCACAGGGCCAGATGATGGCCAGTGCTCAGGCCTATGCCTTCATTGTCCTTCCTCTGCTCATCCAGACATAGCACCAAGGCTGTACGAGCCCTGGAAATACCTGAATGAGATAAACAGATTATAAACAGATTAATCTTTAGACCTGCAAGGGTTCATTCACTCTGTAGAACACATGATCTCTGAATTTTTTTTAAATTTTGAGCTGACTGGTACTAGCTCTGTGTTTTTATTCTGGCACAGCTCTTACATTAACATGCTACTCTCTTAATATGATAGGAGATGGGTCTATCTGGAGCCTTGGAGAGTAGAGCGACAATGAACCTCTGTAACCGAAATGCTAATCAACTCTTAAAGCATTTTTATTAAAATTAAAGAGAAAATTAATTAATTTAATTGGAAAATTAGATCAATTGGAAAATTGGAACTAACAAGAACTAGATTTTGGTTTTGAGACAGGTGGTAATTTTTGCTGAGTTTGTGTTCAGCACTGAACCAAAAAAAACGTTGAGCTTATTTGGACACAAAGAGAAATACAACTGATGTGGCTGCACCTACATTACGTGAGCAAAGAGGAACCGAGCAGATTGTGCATGACCTGCATGTTTACAAGGTACTGTCACCTTGTTTAATTCTTCTATGACATCTTATGGACATATCATAAACCATCACACAATTGCAAGCTAGCTAACATCTCACTGAGAATTTTGTAAAAAAGTTCAAGGTCAAAAATAATTATTCTGCATATATTCATTTTTTCTACAAGGTGGCTTGTTTTCTGACATAGCTTTTTAAAAGCTGCTTGTGAAACATCAATGCAATGCTCAAGAGGCATTCAAAATGCCAACTGGCCAAAAGAAACTCTTTCTAACATCAGTTTTACATTAGATGTGAAAATTTGTGCAAGGGAATTTTTGTTTGTTTGGGGCTTAGTTTTCTTTGTTTCATAGAGTGGCAACCATACCAGTTTGTGCAATAAATTAACAGAGAAGACCTGGAGAACCCAAACAGCACTGCCACTCTGGACTAATGGGGAAAAAAGTTGGATAGAATAAAAATTTATGAACTTCCTGTCCATGTGTACAAACTCGGCCCCTTTATGCCTTTGGTTAGTTCATAACATATCGAGGGGGGGGGGGGGGGGAAATCGTTGTTTTTGGAGGTAATTTTATTTCCATCCACTACCTCAGACACTTTTAGATCCTCACACTACAGTGTGCTGTATGACACCCCAAAGAAACAAACTAAGTTGTCGGACCCTTGTACCTGCAGTCTGCTTAGTTATTTCTGAGAATAAAGCAGCTCCATGTGAGCAGAGCACTCTTGGCAATAATAGCTAAGGGTCTGTGTCTAACATCACCAGCTGTAGCTGACACACACACCCGAGCTGGAGCAAGACAAGTAGCATGGAGCTCACCTGAAAAGTCCTCAGAAGGACGTGGTTGCCTTGTCTTATGTCTTTCCCTGTGTTTTCAGGAAAAAAAACTTGGATATCCCTGTGTTCTGAGCAAGCAGCACAGAAGGAATTCACTAAGAGAAAATTGTTGCCACAGAGATATTCAAAACAATAAAGTATGTGATGGTTATACTGCCATGGAACAATAAGGAAAAAATCTTTAAAAAGTTTCAGTAAGGTTCTTATCATTTGACTTTTGGTCACTACTTTACTGCTGTCCTTTAGCCCAGACATTTCATTCCAATATATTTTTTAATTATACTTTTGTGATGTGCTTATTTATCACTCTTAAAACTAACTTCAGTACACAGTTATTTTGAGGAATAGTAAATTTTATTGGAATACTATAGGAAAAAGCTGAATTTTAAAATTTCAAGAAAAAGTATGGAATAGAAGCTTCAGACTAATTTTTTTCACCTTTTTCAGTAACAACCTTTAGATATTTATGGACTGAAATGGGGAGTAGAAGATCCAATGTCTCAAAATCTATTCTCTGAAAACTCTGGGCATACTAGTGTCTCACCAAAAAGCTTTGCAAACATCCCAAACTTGAATCCTACAGGGTATGACCTTTTTTCAGTTTTTAGATTTACCTTTTGGAAAACTATTCAGTATGAAGCATGTAGTATAGGCTCTAAATGTAACTTCTTGAGTTCTGAAAACCCTAAAAATTGAATATCAGACCACTACTATTAATAAATGAATACTGACTTAGTTGTGTTTTAGAGTTGATGCCTTTGCTTACCTACAGGCTTTACTAGTATGCAAATATCTTTAAGGTGGAAACATCAGATGAATGTTGGCAATATCCAGTGGACCTCCTTCAACCTTATTCAGATAATTTCTATTCCATTTGATAAAATCAGTGTCACTAATATGCAATCCATATAATCCTTGACAACACCAGAAATATATGACTAAATATAATTTGGATTAGTGTGAGACAATATGTCTATAGAATGGAAAAGCAGATCTATGAGTGTGCTTTTCAAAGCTCTCTGTATACTCAATGACATAGGTGTAAATTTCCTGTGTAAAATTATTTGAATTTTCACTTGTAGGAAAATCTGGAATCTTTAGACTCTGAGTTTTTGGGTTTTGGTTGCTTTTATTTCTTTTTTCTTTCCTTCCTCTCTTTCAGGGCATATTTTTTACTAAGAAATAAAATTATAATATTTAATAACTATTAGCAATATGCATGTAATTTTAAAAAACACACATTTTGTTGAAATGTAAAGATAAGATCACTAGCAGTAAAGTCACAATTTCTTGAAAAGACTAAAAAGTTTTAATGTCAGACTTCAGCACTTTAATGTATTAAATTTCAGTTTTAAAAAAAACTGAAAAAGTTTTAGCTTTGAAATTTAAAAGTATTAAAAGCATGGTCCATTAGATCGGGGGAAAAAAAAATCTTTGTAGTGCTTTATGGAGTTCTTCTTTTTATTTTTTCCCATTCTTGAGTCCCATGCAAGAATGTTAATGACCACAGGAGACATTAAGATCTGGGAAATCTTCAGGATCTCCAATTAGGACCCTAAATTTTAAAGCTGTGTTAGTAGACCATCATGGTTTCCTAATGGCTAATAAATATATGAAAAATAATTGTAGCTATTCTGAAAAATGACTTCAAAGGTTTTTATCTCTAGTGAACAAAATCTTCTCAAGATGGATTTTTATAATCACTTTGCACATACATACATGGAAAAAAGTCTAGAGTAAAATCCACAGCAACTATTTAGCTCACATTTGTAAAATGTTTGTATGATGCACAATATCTGTTTATCTGGGTACAGAATGATCCTTCTTCATACTTGTTCTTAAGTCTTGTAGATTGTGCATGGGAAAAGGTGTGCAATTAAGTTGTTAGGAAATCTTCCCTGTTGTTATTAACTCAAGTTAGTTGAGAAGCAAATGGTGCATCTCTTTTTTTCTCTGTCCACGTTACAAATGGTCTGTGCAGCACCTGTGGGCAAGTTTGGCATCTGTACCTATCTGCTGATACACACCCACGTAACATGTGCCTTGCACTACATAAATTACTAATAAATACTAGGTCAGGTTGACCAATAAATTCCAGCTGCTTTGTACTGCCCTGTTCAATATAAACCAGCTGTATGCAAGTCTCATCTGGCTGATTCAGATGGATTTACAGTTATTTTGGCTTGGCAACACCACACAAATCAATCCCTGTATATTGATGAGACTTGGTCAATACTTCCTCTGAAAATCACACAAAATGCATAAGAAAATGGAACCTTTCAACAATTATTTTAAACATCCACTTTTAGAATCTGAATCTGAATCTGAAGAGATAAGGTCACATTAGTAAAGATAGCCAGTAAAGGTTAGCCATTTAAATCATACATCTGTAAGAAGTTAAAGTACACTACAGCAATTAAACTCATGAATATAGGTCAGCACTCTAATCCCGTGTCTGATTTAATCTGATCTACAGAAAGGACAACTTTTAAACATTTTTTTTCCAGAGCAAGTTCAATAGAAAATCAAAATATCTGAAAAAAGGATGAAATCCATTTTCTTAACAAAACAAACTTCATCAGAAACTTGTAAATGATCTGTAGCTTAAAAACTTATTTCTGCCTATTCCTGGAAAAAATCTTTGTAAGATCAGAGGCCTTT